CGGGAAGGTCGTCAAATGATTTTTGCAAGTTAACTGGTCCGGAATATGTATTTTCCGGACCAGTTAACTTGAAAAAATCATTTGACGACCTTCCCGATCGAATTTTGAGCTGAAATTTGGTATGGACAAACTAGACTTGATGAGGAACATGCTCAAAAAATTTCATCAAAAAATTCCACCGGGAAGGTGCCCAAACGGGCTCGGCCGGACGGGGCAGTCCGTCAGGCCGGCCTGATGAGAAGAGCTCTCTCTCTCTCTCTCTCTATATATATATATATATATATATATAGAATAAAGATCAAATGATCGAGAACATTGCTTAACGTGAGAACGTGAGAACACCACGTTTTCTCCAACGTGTTGCACAATGAAGCTTGTATATTGCACCTTTTCACTTTTTCACAGTATTAACCAAAATGTCATCGTGTTTATTTAATATAGGCTTAATTCGAGCAAATTGAAAATGTGCAACAGAATAGCTCCATCGTGCTTCACATTGATTTAAATGTGAGTGTTCTCATGTTCTCACGTTAAGCATCGTTCTCACTGGAACCTATATATATATATATATATATATATATATATATATATAGATTTTGGTTCAGATGAGAAATGCATCTAATGTGAGAAATGAGAATGAATCTCAGCCATTGGATTTACGAAGTTGCACTAAAATTGGCTTTATGTTGCAGTAGTATTTAAATTTTGCACATGTTGCACTAAAACTGTTTCATGTTGCACTAATATTTGACGGCGTTGCACCGAAATAGCTTCATGTTGCACTAGACACGTGTAATACGGAATTTTCAGAAGTATTTACGGAAATGCCACCGTGCTACATTGCATATTTCAGTGCATCATGAAGTGTCTTTTACTGCAACTTAGTCGAATCCAATGGCTGAGATTCATTCTCATTTCTCACCCAAAGGATTTTTCTCACTTGAACCTTACCCTATATATATATATATATATATATATATATATACATATACATATATAGAGAGAGAGGGGGGAAATCATCAGAAGTGTTTATTAGGTTGAAAATGAAAACTATTGTGCACTTGTTTATAAAGAAGAACCTTGTTTGACGGGAGATAAAAGCTTTTCTCCTGATCGATACAATCATGGCATCATATCTTGGTCTTCTTAAATTATTTCTTTATTTTGCACTTCTATCATGGTCTTCTTCATTAATCTAATTCTATGGTGATTGTTTTTCTAACTTGTGACTAGGTGATCTCATGTCGAAATGCTAGTGATGAGTTGCTAGTTCATCAATGAGTGGATTTGGCGTGTAGAGCTGCAATCTGCAGAGATATTATTTTGATGACTAGTGACTGACTATGAGAGAATTTCACCCATATTAGAGGAAGCTCATGAAATTCAAGCTTTTTTCATTAGTTTGAATGTTTGACTAGTGGACTAAGGGTAACTTCCAAATCAAAGGTTTATTCGACTTTATGATTAGCTTTTTATTTAAAATTTAAATTGTTTTAATATCCAATTTTTTTGCTCCCATGTTTAGCCCCTTCAGTTTGCAATTTAGAAGTTGTGTGGTAACTATATTTGATTAGACATATTTAAAAAAATTATCCTTGTAAAAAGATTGAGTTAACTTTATGCCTTAAGTATTTGTTGAAATGTTTGAAGAGATATTACCCAAAATGGGACTAAAAAAGTTTGAAAATTACAAAATATGACTTCCATGTCTTTATTCCCAAAATAGGACTAATTACTGCCATGTTTTGGCAGTATCAGACTTCAAACATGACAGTATTTTCCAAATTTGGCAGTAATTAGTCCTATTTTGGGAATAAAAACATGACAGTCCTATTTTGGAATTTTTGAACTTTTTTAGTCCCATTTCGGGAACTTTCCCATGTTTGAATTATAAATGATGTTAATTATATAAGAGTATATTTGGTAATTCATAACTATGTGCACATAAGTATTTGATATCGTCAATATTTTCCATCAAAGGAATAGTTATGCAAGGAGAGGAAATATTATATAGTCAAGGGAAAATCTTTATGAATGTCTAGTTGTAACTTAGAGAATTGTATTGTATTTTGGGCTATCTTATAAGACTCGGTCAACAACTCTTGTCTAGTTTTTTTTTTTTTAAGGAAATGAATTTGATGAGTTGATGGTTCTTATATAATGTACGTCAAATGTTGTAGGTCCCATATACGTTCTAAAACTAAAGAAGTTTCTAAACTTTTATTTTCTCTTAACAAGTAGTAGCTGAATAAGTTATACGTTCCGGGTGGCATGGGAAGCAACCAATTTTGGGTTGTTTTTAAAGAAATTTATACGATAGCATATTTTTATCTATCTTTAAGTTATTTAAGCATCGTGACGTTGAGTTAATGGTAGCTTTACGTCCCGCAAAATAGTTTTCGGTTTTCTTTTTGGGTCGTCCCAAAAAATATTTCACATTTTCCTTTCTGAAAAGTTTTGTGTGGCTCACATCCATTTACTTTTTTTATTCAACTACAACCATACATTTCTACTTTATTATAATTTTCTTAAACTCCGATCCAAGTCAGTGCGGGAACTATTTTATGTGATGAATATTTAACTTCCTAGCCTCCTAAATTTTCAATATGCATTTATTGGTCATAGTGACACGCAAATGCAGGAAGGAAGTTTGCATCTTTGCATGGTTCAAGAAAGAAATCGAGAAGGAGAGTGCTTGGACCTTCAAATATTCCTACCTTGATTCATACTTAGATTTGATGTTTCTATTTTATATTTTGTAAAGCAGCATTAAATTTATATACAATTTGTTGGGTCATTTATTCTTTTTCAGTACGTAAATAACATGAAAAAGAATGCTATATTCTACCAACCGTTACTACATTTTTATATTCTTTGAAATTGCAATGTGATATATGTATATTCAATATAAAGTTGAAGTTATATTATTTAAACACAAAATTGGTTGTATTATCAGCATAATGTATTATGAGTATGATATATATTACCGTTATGTTATATATACATACACAAATAAAAACTTGCACTGATTGTGCATTTTATTTTATACATAAGTAATTGGTGATATTATTTATTTTTCTTTACTACGTATTATTTTTAAAATTTGATCATAATTCGTTAATTTTAAGTCGTTCTTGAATTCAAGGATAGTATAATGTTTGTCTGGTAATTTATCTAATCTTTTACTTTCTCCGTCCCAATTTGAGTTGCAAATTTGAGTTTTTTTTAGTCAAACATTTACATTTAATTTACTTGATTAGGATATCAATTATTGACTAAATTTTAATCTAGACTTTAATTTGCAACTTTATAGAGATTTTAATTTAATTTCTGAATACGTAAATTTTAATTATTAAAATTTAATTATTTATTAATAGAGAGAATTTAATTTTAACATTTGTTAACCAAAAAAATTTACTTTGCAAAATAAATTAGGAAGGAGGTAGTAATATATAACATCCTTTTTCTATTTGATAAAAGAATATTGATACCTTATAACATTAGAAAATATCCCGTGCATCGCACGGGTACTATACTAGTACGTTCTAAAACTAAAGAAGTTTCTAAATTTTTATTTTCTCTTAACAAGTAGTAGCTGAATAAGTTACATGATTTCTCTTAAAAGTTAAACATATGTATACTAGAAGTTACTCGTGCAACAAAACAACTATTATTAATTGTGTGATTAATTATATAGCTTATTCATTTATAGATGTTTGATATACATTTTTTCTTGATTTAAAGTAAGAATTACACTTTTTAATAGTGTTTATTTTAACTGGCTAAACTCTAAGTTTTTCAACTTGCGTGCAAAACAATTGACTATTAAATTAAAACCTTTAATTATTTTTCTTCATATTCTAACGTGTTATGTAATGTATAAATATACACTACTCCCCCTATTCCAAGCCCATGAGTACTTGATAATAATGTATTATCTTGGGACTTATGTGTAATTACCCTAATTACGCTTTATTATAAATATAAGCTTATGGCACCCAATAGGGTAAGCCATTATTTCCCAATTCTATTGTTTTGTATATGGTATCAGTTGCTAGGTTTTTCCAAACCCCTTCCTATGGCCGGCCGTACCACATCCGCCGCCGATAATACTTCCGTTTCTCTGCCCTCGGGAATGACGCCCGCAGGCCAGGAGCCGCCGTCCCAAACATCTTTGACAGCATCTCCTGTGTTCGATGTCTCCTCTGGTTCCACCATGTCGCGCATCGCGGGCTCGCCTCATCCGTCTTCTACGGCGATGTCCCCAGCTGAAGCTGCGCAGCAGAGTCCATCTCCACTTCCGGCGTCTCTATCCCAACGCCTTCCTACAATTCCCTCGCTCGACTCCTTCCGGTTATTTAATATGCCGGAGCCATTCAACTGGACTCCCACACCATCAACTGCACCGCAATCCACCGTTCCAGGCCTCCCAAACATTGGTGGTTTATCTCTTGGCTTCTCGGGTCCAACGTTTTCTGGTCAACGTGGAATTGCGCCAATACAGCAGACTACTCCGTCCTATTTACCAGGTTTCAATCAAGCTCCCAGCTTATTATCCTCCATGGCATCTCAACTTACCTTTTCTACACCGAATGTTAATAATATTGTTACTACACGTTTATCTGCGGTTGAGGACTATTTGCCATGGCGGACTCAGTTTGAGTCTTTTCTAGTATCCCACAGTTTATTTGGGATGTTAGATGGCTCCATTCCGGTTCCACCATCCACTATACTGGATTTGAGTAGACGGGAGACTATTAATCCGGATTATCATCATTGGTTAAAAATTGACCAAACAGTGCGTTCTTGGATTTTTGCTACTCTCGCTAGGGATATTCTGATGGATGTTTATAATCTTAAGCATTCACAACTTATTTGGGATAGACTTCAACAACGATTTATGTCTGCCTGCCTTTCACGATCCATAGAACTTAAACGTTCTTTATCACATATCAAAAAGAAATCTTCACAAAGTATGGATCAATATTTACTAGAAATTAAGGTTTTGGCAGAAAACTTAGCGGCTATAAATTCTCCAGTTAGTGATAAGGATTTAATTGAATATGCCATTCTTGGACTTGGGCGTGGCTATGAGTCACTTATCACGGCTATCAATTATTTTCCTGGCAATGCTACACTGGACAATTTACGACCTATCCTTGAAGCACAGGAGAAGACGAATGCCCTATTTGATGCCCAGGATTCGGTCCCAGTGCATCAGGCCTTTGCAGCGGCCAATGCTAATGCTCCAGCAGTGCAAGGTGGCCGTGGGGGTGCTCCTCGGCCAGGGGGTGCTCCGCGTGGTCCCGGGGGACGTGGTCAACGCGGTGGTCGGACTCGTGGCGGACGAGGCCGAGGTGGCCGCGGGAACTATCAGCAGCAGCAACCATACGGTGCACCTCAACCGTATGGTGGTCAGTACGGACAACAACAGCCCACTCCTCCACAGCCACGTGGACCTGCATTTTCTGTTTTCCCAGGTTCGGCATTATGTAATTTCACTTCTGGTATTAATTGTACTGTTTATTCTCCTATTTCTGCTACTCACACGCTCAGTGCAGGTTTTCCGTCTGTGGATCAGTCCTATCAGTCTCCTCCACCCCCAGTTGTTTGCCAGTTATGTTTTTCCCCAGGTCACTCCGCCATGCATTGCTCCCGTTTTACTGGTTCCGCGTCTCCTGCTCTAGCTGCTTTACCCACTGGTGAGACCAATGATTCAGTTTGGTACCCTGACTCTGGAGCTTCATCTCATATGACTCCTCATGAAGGTATTCTTTCTTCTAAAACTACTTACACCGGTCCTAATCAAGTATGTGTCGCTAACGGTACCAAACTACCTATTTCACATATTGGTCATTTAAAGCTTAATACACATGGCCGCCCGTTAAACTTAAACTCAGTTTACCATGTTCCTCACATTAAATACAATTTACTTTCCATTCAAAAGTTGTGTGCGGACAATGCCTGTCAAGTTATTTTTGATAAAAATTCCTTTCGTGTTAAGGACACGCAAACGGGGGAGCTTCTACTTCAGGCAACTAATAAAGATCACATTTATCCTTTTCATGCTCTTCATGCCCGAGTTGTTCCTGGTCCAATCTGGCACAAGCGTCTGGGGCATTGTGGTGATAGAGTCCTTGGTCGTCTTAAGCAGCAAAATTTCATTTCTAGTTCTTCTACTTTTTTACATGACTGTGTTTCTTGTAAGTTGGGTAAATCCCACAGACTTCCTTTTAGTGATGTTATTCATAACTCCACTGCACCATTACAGATTATTCATTCTGATGTTTGGCAATCGCCGGTTTTATCCCATCTTGGATATAAATATTATGTCTCCTTTATTGATGATTTTTCTCGATATACATGGCTTTATCCTATGCGTAGAAAATCTGAGGTTTTTACTCACTTTCTTAATTTTCAAAAATTAGTTGAAAATCTTTTGAATTTGAAAATTAAAGTCTTTCAGAGTGATGGTGGTGGTGAATTTGATAACTCTATTTTTCAACAACATTTTTTATCGTCTGGAATTTTATTTAGAAAGTCTTGCCCAGACACTCCTGCTCAAAATGGTGTAGCTGAGAGAAAACATAAGCATTTACTCGAATTAACTAGGACTATGTTAATTGATTCCTCTCTTCCTAGTCAATTCTGGGTTGATGCTTTATACACGGCGGTTTTTATTATTAATCGACTCCCTACGCCTATTTTGAGTGGGATGACTCTTTATGAGAAACTCTTTCATAAAATTCCAGATTACAATTTCCTCCGTGTGTTTGGTTGTTCTTGTTTCCCTAATTTTATTGTTGCTTCTCATAACAAGCTATCACCGCGCTCTATACATTGTGTTTTTATTGGATATGCTCCCGGGTACAAGGGTTACCGTTGTCTAGCTCCGTCTACTGGTAGGGTCTATGTTAGTCGGGATGTTATTTTCCATGAAAACATTTTTCCTTATCCCACTCTTGTTTCCACATCTACACCTCTCAACCCACCCTTATCGTTGTCTTGGTTATCAACCTCCACTAAAACCCCCATATCCGACCAGTCCCCTGGTCAATCTTCTGACCATATCCTCGCCCCACCAACTTCCCAATTACCCGGTGAAGCTACTGCCATCACCCCAAATAACCCACCCACACCCAAATCCCAGCCAAGTACTCCCAGGTCCTCCTCTGTTCCCTTTGTCGATACTGCCACCTTCCATAACCCAACACCCAGCCCATCAGATTCATCTACGAGCAGTTCACCTAACAACGACCAGTCCTCAACCCCTACCTCCCCTGGCAGCACTCCACCTGACAGTCCATCTCCTCCGCTCAATGTCCATCCCATGCGTACTCGGGCCAAAGATGGCATTTTTAAACCAAAACAAATTTTCACTCTTAGTGTTGTCTCTCCCCCTGAGGATCCTACTTGTTTTACACAGGCTAATAAGAGTTTAATTTGGCGGGCTGCCATGGCTGATGAATTTAATGCTTTAATTACTAATAAGACTTGGGATTTGGTACCTTGGGATCATACTAAAAATGTGGTTGGTTGTAAGTGGATTTACAAGACAAAATATCTGTCTGATGGGTCTGTTGAGCGGCATAAAGCTCGGTTAGTTGCTCAGGGTTTTAAACAACAAGCTGGTATTGATTTCACTGAAACTTTTAGCCCTGTTGTCAAACCCACCACAGTTCGCCTTATTTTATCTGTTGCTATTTCCTTAGGATGGTTTGTTAGACAACTTGATGTCAAAAATGCCTTCTTACATGGTTACCTAACAGAAGAAGTATATATGCGTCAACCACAGGGCTTTGTTCATCCTTTGTTTCCCACTCATGTTTGTCGTCTTCGAAAAGCACTATATGGTCTAAAACAGGCCCCTCGGGCCTGGTTTCATCGTTTTAGTGGCTTTCTGTTGAGTAATGGTTTTTCTCAAAGTAAATCAGACTCGTCCATGTTCATTTATCGCTCACAATCACAGATTGTATATATTCTTTTATATGTGGATGATATTCTCATTACAGGCTCGTCTGAATCGTTTGTTAAGTCAGTAATACATACCCTTTCCCTTCAGTTTGCTATGAAGGATCTCGGTGACCTTCATTACTTCCTGGGCATACAGGCCCGTCGCACATCTCATGGGTTATTTTTGTCACAGACTAAATATATTACTGATCTATTACATCGGTTTCACCTTCATACCGTTAAGTCGGTACGCACTCCACTTCCCTCTCGCACTACACTCTCTCTCACAGATGGAGAACTGTTAGCTGATGCGACTGAGTATCGCAGTATGGTAGGTGCCCTTCAGTACTTAATTATAACTAGACCTGACATTACTTATGTTGTTCATCTGGTATCTCAGTTTATGCATGCTCCACGTACTTCTCATCTTTTAGCTGTCAAGAGAATTTACAGATATTTGCAGGGTACAGCGAGTCACGGATTATGGCTTCGGTCTGACCGAAACACTTCTGTCATTAAAGCTTATTCTGATGCAGACTGGGCCGGTTGTCCAGACAGTTCTCGCTCTACCACCGGATATGCAGTTTTTCTGGGATCTAATTTAATTTCCTGGCGGTCCAAGAAACAACCCACTGTTTCTAAGTCATCTACTGAGGCTGAGTACAGGGCCATAGCTTATACGGTACAAGATACTCTATTTGTCCGCTCCCTTCTGGCAGATATGGGGATTCGGATCTCGGCCCCGGTTCAGTTATACTGTGATAACGTCTCTGCTTCCTACTTGGCTGTCAATCCTATTCAGCATGATCGCAGCAAGCACATCAAAATTGATTATCACTTTGTTCGAGAGAGAGTTGCTCACGGGGATCTTGTGGTAAAATACATTCCCACGCAGTTCCAGCTCGCGGATATATTTACAAAGAATTTATCTAGTCAGCGTTTTGAGTTTTTACGATCCAATCTGCACGTGGTTTCCCCTGCACAGATTGAGGGGGTGTAATAATGTATTATCTTGGGACTTATGTGTAATTACCCTAATTACGCTTTATTATAAATATAAGCTTATGGCACCCAATAGGGTAAGCCATTATTTCCCAATTCTATTGTTTTGTATACTTGATCGGTCCATGTATTTACCCATATATATATCCTCACTCTCCCCCATTGTACATACTCTTAATAATAATATTCTAATATGTTATCAACACGATGCTCACGATGAGAGGGTGTATTGTGAACCTGAAGTTTTCCATATCGCTACACACGAAGTTGTGTGCGTGCTTATAAGTAGGCCTGAAGCCTTCACCTGTGGACGCATTTTAAAGTCATGATGTCCCCAAGTATCAAAACGGACAATATCCACATGCTATTTATAACACAAGGGACCTTTCTAATCTATATGGTGAGCACTAGTTGAGTTTTTTTAATCTACTCTGGATGTACACTGTTTTTGTACTATGGATAGAGCTTCTGAGTTCTTTTATCATAGAGTTTGCCTTTTACCCTCCAAGGACATTTTGGGAAAGTCAACACATAAATAAATTATACCTAAAAAGCCATGAAGTGAAACTGAGAACTTAATTCGGGGATAAATGGAGCCAGTGGCGGAGCCAGAAGAACGTGTGAGGGGGATCGAAATTTAATTATATACAGTATCAAAATGGAGGATTGTTATTAAACAATATTTGAGTTAAATGTTTCATATGTAGTTAAGATAAATGCTAGTTTAATGAGACATATTCAGTTATTGTGTGTGTATGTCATGTATTGCGGAGCCAGTTTTTAGCACTTTCAACATGTTCTACTGAACATGGCTTCCCGATTTAAGGAGCCCCAATTTTTTAAAAAATCATTAGTATTACATAATAATAATATATATTAATACTAATCAGTAAAATAATTTTTTTTGTCAGTCCCTTTACTCCTGTTTTATTCAAATTGATTGAGTGACGAGTTGTGTTGCTTTAAATCAAGTATTAAGTGTTTTTTAGAATTTTGTATTACATTATTTGATAAGTATTGAATTGATTTCAGTATAAATATTTAGATTGATTTTTTTTTTTTAAATTTTTTATATTAATATGAGCCTCGATTTTACGTTTGGAACGAGGCCTCCAAATTCACTAGACGGCTCTGATGTATTGAAAACTTCACACAATTATTGAGTGAATAAGGTGTTTTGTTTTTAAATTGAAGAATATAATCAACACCACACATCAAATTTTGCTTATTTCAAGTTCGGATGATTCTGATTTTTTCAAAAGTCGCAAGTTTTTACTCGAAATGAGTTACGAGGTCCATAATATATCAAATCGAAGGTAATTCAAAGTTCTGCATTCTTGAACTTCTAGCGGGATCGGCTGACCACCCAGATCCTCCTTGGCTCCGCCCCTGAATGGAGCATTTGGTTTGAGTGCATTACCACTTACAAAGTTACAAGTGGGTTGGGGTTGTCCTCTAATCGCCCGTACCATTTCTTAAATTTTAAAGCTAATAACGAGAGACCTAAATTCCCGATGGAGGTGGTAACGGCTAGCTTATAAAGGCGCCGAATTTTGTTAGAATTCAAAAAATTTAAGCTTAGAATTCAATATCACGTGACGCACAAACAAATAGAGTTATACAAGTTGCGAATTAACGGTCTGGATTCCAATCGAACAGATGGTATTGATTCTCATTCGCCCGTCACCAGAATCAATTGCGACACCCAATGTCACCGGCACGCTTCACTTGCTTTCAGGGAAAGAACTGATTCGCCGACAGAATTCTCCGGCCTTCAATGGAGAAGAGGCTTCGCTCAACCCTCCGTACTTCAGCAGTAGACTTTCTATTGTCAGCTTCCAAGCAAGGGTTCAAAAGCGAATCGAAACCCCATCTCAGAACCCTAATTCACAGTCTCAAAGCTTCTCCTGAGATCGTCGGTTCTCTCCCTACGGCCCTCTGCAACTCCATTTCTCAAGCAATTGAGAAGTTAAAGAACCTCAACGACCCGAACTACGACGGCGCAGACCTTGCTTCGGGAGAAAATTCCCCCAAGACGCCTCCTGCAAAGAGGGTTCGGAGGTCTGGTCGAAACCGGAAAAAAGAAGACGTCGATTCAAGTGCAAAAGAAAGCAAGGGCAGAACTGAGGATGTCAGGCAGTCTGTGTTGGAAACTTTGCAGTTTTATGCTTACATTTTGCTCCAATGCATATCACATCCCAGAGGTATATTCAATGCCTCTGACTTGCTACCGGCTGCTCGCGAGTTGCATGATAATTTGGTGCTATTTGAAATGGATACTGGGCTGTCATGTGAAACTGCTAGCGTTTGTGAGGTGTGGTGGAAAAGGGATTTAACAGGTAAGGAATCACTTATAACTCAGTCACTGCCGTTTATGTTGTCCAGGGCTTTGACATTTAAGAAAAAAGTCGATGTGCAAAGAGTGTATGCTATGCGTGAAGCGTTGTTGTTGTTTGATTTTGAAGATGAAAGCATTGCAGATTTGAAGCTACTGATGATGAGATGTTTGATTTCACCTCTTTTCTTAAAAACGGAAAATGGCAGGAAGTTTATAGCATTTATGTTTGGGTTAAGCAGGCAACTAGTGAAAGAAGCATTGGCAATGATTAGGTCACAGGTTCCTTTTGGGCGTAAATCAGCTTTGGAGGCTTTTGGGGAAATATCTTTCAGGGCATGGAAGGCGGCAGAAGGGGAAGCAAGGATTGATATAGAGGATGGGTTCTTGCAAATGATGATTGATAGTGCTATACATGCAAGCTCACCTGCATTTTCTGCATCGATTAGGAGGATTTTGTGGGGTTTCATTTCTCAGAGAACTACTGATGGGGTTGAAAGGGTCCTTTTTCGTCTTGCCGAGCCAGTCATTTTCCGCTCCCTGCAGGTGTTGTGATGGTTATTGGATTATGTTTCTTTGTTCTTTCCTGACATATAAATTTGAGTTACGTTCATGTTGTAATGGTGACTTAAATTGGATTTTGAAGTTTTAACTTTAAGCAGAATGTGGCATCGAAGTATATGAACCCCTCACTTTTTTGTGCTAGTTCATAGTTGTTTTTTGTGCTACATATATAATGCAATAGGAGCAAAAATCATGCTTTGTTCGGAAAGTACCTAGAATATGTTGAGAAAAGAAAAAATGCTAAGATTAGTTTATTTTCTCATGTTTGGTTTTACCCTGGTTCCATAATTTAAAATGGAGCCAAAGACTCACTATTTTTTGTCTTGGGAATATGACACAATAAAGCAAAATTGTGCATGGGTCATCCGAATAATCTCTATGTGCTTTAGTACAGGGGTGAGCTTTGTACACCCGAACCCCCCTTACCCCACCATAAGGTGGTAGCCTTTGTGGCATTGGGGGGTAATGTTGTTGTTGTTTGGTTTTACGTTGGAAAACACAAAGAACCTGGATATTTTTACAATAAATTCATTGAGTTTTAACTTATCTTTACTTCCCCCACCCCACTCTTTATTTTATTTCCTTCAAATCTCTTTATATTTTTCCTCATACTTTATGGGTTCCAAACAGATCTTTGAAGTTAATTGCAAACTCTGCTGCAGGTTGCAAACTCAAATGTTCGTCAAAATGCACTGCACCTACTTCTGGACTTGTTTCCTCTTGAAGACCCTGATGCTAAAAAAGAGGCAAAAGACGCACTTCTTGAGAAACAGATCTTTCTTATGGATAAGTTAGTCATGGATGATTGTCCAGATGTGCGAGTTGTAGCGGTTGAAGGGTTCTGTCGGATTCTTCATATGTTTTGGGAAGTTATTCCTTCACTTACAATAAGTAAAATACTCACAAAGATTTTTGACCAAATGGTGTATGATGCATGCACTGAAGTCAGACTTTCTGCAGTTAATGGTATTGTGTATCTACTGGGAAACCCACATTCTCATGAGGTTCTCAAAGTTCTTTTACCAAGACTGGGTCATTTGATTTCGGATAGTGCACTCTGCATTCGTTCTGCCATTGTGGACCTCCTCCTCAGCCTGAGTGATATAAGAAACTTCTACTTCCACAAGGTAGAAAATTGCTGAATAACTGAAAGTCTGTATTGCTGTAGTAGCTACTCCAGTTCCTACTGATCTATATTCACTGACCAACTTTTTAATTCTTCTTAAATGTCTACTTATGAGGTCTATTCACTTTAAACAACTTTTCCAAATATTGCCTTCCATATCCTTCTGTTTAATAGATTATCTAAAACAACATTCCCTCCGATCCTTACTACAAGAGACCTTTTAAAAAGTCAATGTGCCTTTTTATAAGACATTGTGTTTGCTATGACACATTTGTTTTTTTTCCCATGGCGTGTACATAACAAATGTTCTGTTCATTTTTATTTTTATTTTTGAAAAAGTATTACTTAACCGGCATAATTAAAGAGGGAAGAATTTCAGTATCATAATCTTCTTTAAGAATTCAAGAATATGAACTACTTTGTCTGTGTAATTTGTTCAACTGTGCATTGTATTGATGACAGGAGGGAGCACCAAGAAATTGTTCCATATTAAATGAGGGCATCTTAATTGAGTATAAAAATGATTTATTTATCACTCCAATGCATTTTCTTAAACAATGTAATTTGGTCAATGTAGACAATAGGATTGGGGAAAAGGTATCAAATAAGGCCTTCCACTATTACGGAATCGTCACATAGGGTCACGTATTCAATAAAGTGTCATATAAATACATTTACTTATAAAAAGCAATCAGATGAGTTCAAACGACCCGTTGACAACCTCCTAATCCCGATTTTAGCTTATGTGTCGTTGTTTTTGTCTTGTATTTAAGTCAACTTTTGCTAAATATTCCACGTCAGTCTTACAAACATAGTCAGACGCATGTTGAAACCGGGATTGCAAGGTTGTCAAAAGATGTTGAAACCGGGATTGCGAGGTTGTCAAAAGGTCGTTAGGACTCATTCGATTGCTTTTATAAGGAGACGTATCTATATGACACTTTATTGTGTACATGGTCTTATGTGACGATTTCATAATAGTACAAGACTATTTGACCCTTTTCTCTAGGAATGGAGAGAATTGCTGAATTTTATGACATTACATCAACTTACATTTCCTCTCTTCTGCAGGTAGTCAGTATTGATGCATTGCTTTCTCAATTGGCAGGTGATCAACCAGTTGTTGCACAGAAAATCACTAAACTTCTTCTCCCTTCATATTTCCCCTCAGAGGTTAAACCGGAAGAAGCTTGTAAGCGTTGTGTCACCCTTATAAAGAGGTCTCCTTCAGCTGGATCAAGGTTTTGCGAATTTGCTGTATCAGCTGGAGCCACCCTCCCGTCCTTAATAAAATTACTGAAAGTTTTGATTCATTTGGTTATTTCAGAGGATGAAAACCTGGAAAAAGATCAGATTAATAGTATGATTATTGCCACTTCGCATCTTTATAGCCATCTTGTTAAGGAAACACCTTTCAAGGCTAGTCTTAAGAAACTGCTATCAGGAAGAACACTACAAACCCTGTTTGGTGCAGCAACTACAACCCAAGCTAAATCTTCTATTTGTAGTATTGTTTCAACAATTTCTGCAGATGACGTTGATGATCTTTTTGAGGAATTCTTGCCCTTGGTAACCAATTGCAGTGGACTTACTGGTAGTGTGGAAAGGCAAGCTGAGGTGAGATCAGTACACATGATGATGTTGTCTTGTGGTTGGTTTGATGATATGTTTGAATCTCTATCAGAAATTCTTCAAGAAATTGTTCACTCTATGAATGACTCAGCTGTACAAGAGGCTTCATCCACTAAACGGAAGAAGAAAAAATCCTCCACCAAAAGAACTTCAAAATGCATGTACCCTAACCTGAAAAAGGCATTGAGCAAGGCCAAATTCAACTCTGCTGACACATATGAGATTGCTGAGGGAATAGCCTTTCAAGTAAATGATCTACTGCTGTTTGAAAGTACAAGAAAAGCCGTGCTAGGGTCTGGAACATTAGAAACTGTGTTTCTTGCTTTGAAGACTATCTCAGAGTTTAGTATTTTGCAGCCTGGGGAGTGTGGTGACATGAATGTATATCCACTTTTAGCTTACACAGCTCTTAGCTTGCAAATGTCTGCAATAAATGTCAGTGACGGTGAAGCTAAGCTATCTTCAAAAAGGAAAGCCACAGAATCATCCTCAACCGCAAAGGTACATTACAAGTCATGTTGTTTTTGCCTTTTCTTATAGGGGAGTTTTATGGGTCACTTCGGATGGAGTTTTCTTAAAGTGTTTTAGAGTACCAAGTCTATTTCTTAATGTGTGTGTTTGATGGTTTATTATGCATGTAATGTGTATTTGAGACTATATACTCCCTCCGTATTTAAAAGATCGCTACGTTTGATTATGGCACAAGATTTAAGGCAGAATAGTAGGGGTAATGAATTGTATAGAAAAAGTAGGAGAGAACGTGAAAAAGTAGGAAAGAGAGGATAAAAAGTAAGGATAATTGAGTATTTTTAAAGGAAAAACTTACTAAAAAGGGAAAGTGTAGGGAACTTTTAAATACATCCCAAAAAGGAAAGTGTAGAGAACTTTTAAATACGGAGGGAGTATCAATGATAGGAGCATGATAATAATACTAATAAGAATAATATAATACTACCTCCGTCCCCCTAAGTTTGCGACAAGAGAAGGTGACACGATTATTAATAAAAGTGGGTTTATGTGGTTGATATTGAATTTATAAAGTAAGAATAAAGTAGGAATGATTTATAACCACACAAATTTTACCAAATAAGGTATGGGACAATCTTAGTGGGATGGACCGAAAAGGTAAAATGAGACAATCATAGCAGGACGGAGGGAGTAGTATTAAATAGGGTGATATTGTAAAAATGAGGGCCTGGGCCATGTAAAGAATTATGGACCGGCTCATAAAAATAGAATGAGTATAAGAGTAGGGAATAAAGGAAGAAAAAGGAGGCAGTTATAAAGTTAGAACATTGAGAGCTCTGGCACTCTCGAACTGCCCAGAAAATTAGTATAGTTTCCAGGGCCACCAACTTGCCAGTTGCTCAAATTTGATGGATCATTGATTGAAGGGGATGTTATCACAGCTATCAAGGTTATCCCACAAAGTGAAGACCAAGAACATGTTTGGGGAAAATACCAGAAAGATGTCAGATATCATTGGTTTGTTTCATCTGAAAAGAGCAGTCAAAATTCCTGTGAGCCTTTATCATCACAGCATTCTTGCTCATACAATCTTCAGTTCGAGGTCATAGGCCATTCTATGAGGTGTGAATGCAGTCAATGCACTAAGAGAGTATACCTTAATTCTTAAACTTCATGGACCTTTTGGAGAAATTATTACAGTACAAACTGTTTGTGATACGGAAAGCAGTGATCTCAATTCAAAACAGTTGCAATTTTATGAGAACAATTGCTGGGCTACTTGGCAATCTGAGCAACAGAAGAAGCATTATGTTCTCAAGGGTAACAACATTACTCTCCCTGAAGTGAATTTGGATAAACCAGGGTGTGGACTGCTTTGTTCAAAAGGGATAATGAAGCTTCAAGTACTGAAGCTCTTGATTCCGCCATCTATGAGGTACTGGGAAGGAAGAGGCGCCAGGATGAAGCTGATTTCCAGGCGTGTTTCCGATCACCCACCTTGAGGACAAGGTGGTTGTCGACGGGGGAGTAATGATAGGAACAAGATAATAATACTAGTAAGAATAATAGAATAGTGCTTCCTCCATCCCAGTGGGCTTTGCCAAGTTCAAAGTAGGTGAGAAATAAGAAAAGCAAAAACTATGTGGTTGAGGTTTGTGCATAGGAGAGAGAAATGTGCAGAATCACAATTTAGTTGCTTTAATAGGAAAGTGTCAAAGTTTTTTGGGACAACAAAAAAGGGAAAGTTGGCAAAGTTCAATGGGACGGAGGGAGTATGTTACGATCCCACACCGGTCAATTATGGGATTGATTGGTGGCTTATAAGCAAGGTGTTCCCTCCTCCTAATCGCCTGGTCTTTTAGGAGTGAGTTCTACACCTGGGTTTATGGCACTGCTATGGGCTTAGTATAGCTAGGTCTGTAACAATTGGTATCAGAGCCGTCCCCATCTTCCTAGTCCCGACACTCGGAGTGGTGGCCTATGGAGTGATGGCTTGGGCCTTGGGGGGTGCCAACCGTGACTAACATAGCCGTGACCAACGAGGACGTTGGCTCTTCGAAGCGTGGGGTATTGTTACGATCCCACACCGGTCAATTATGGGATTGATTGGTGGCTTATAAGTAAGGTGTTCCCTCCTCCTAATCGGCTGGTCTTTTAGGAGTGAGTTCTACACCTGGGTTTATGGCACTGCTATGGGCCTAGTATGGGCTAGGTCCGTAACAGAGTATTAAATAGGGTGATATTGTAAAAAATGAGGGTATGGGGCATGTAAAGAATTGTAGACCATCCCATAAAAATAGAATGACTATAAGAGTAGGGAATAAGGGAAGAAGGAGGCGGTTATAAAGTTAGAACCTGGAGAGCTCTGGCACTCTCGAATTGCCCAAAAATCGTTCATCTTCTGTAATTTATTTCCTACTGAAACCAGTTTTTTATATTTGATTCTAGTATAGTTTCTGGATATTGTGTGTTGATCTATCAAACAATTATATAATCCTTTTGCATTTTTGGAAGCACTATATTGATCAAGATATTGACCATGTTCTTAAAAATTGGCCCTTAGTCTCATCTACCATATTTAATTATGGTGACTAAAAAAGGAACTTATGCGAATGTTTTGTTTGGCAACACATCCAGAACTTATGTTGAAGTTAGGTCATGGATAAAGTGAAAGTGTGAAAAGATGTTATCTACTAGGAATCAAACTTTTGATCTCCTACAAGTGTGTTTTACTTTGTTTTGGCATCTTCTGCATGTGTATTTCATGTCTTTCTGGCTTAGTTTGTTCTATGACTTTTTATTAAGTAAGCATTTCTTATCTTAGTTAACATGCTTCCATCTTTTGTGCCATTTCTATGATAGAGAACTGCTTCGGATCTGACAATGGATCATCTTCTGGACTGCACAAACAAGTTATTTAAATCAAAGGGACATAACAAGTGTTTCCCAGCTAAAGTGAAGATCCTAACAGCAGTACTGAAGTTCATTGTTGATGCTATTTCAATGGAACTTGCTCACCTAGATCCACATACCTGTATGAAGTTTGCCCTGGAGTATGTACAATTCATCTCCTCCTGCTTCAGAAAGTACTCCGTTAACCAGCTTCAATTAAAAGAAGAAGGCATAAAAGACACACTACTGTGTGTGAGTAGTTCCTTCACATATGGAGCCAAGTTAATAAATCTTGTGCTAAAGAATCTCTTTGATACTTCAACACCACAATTAGTAGCTTATCATCTCGCTAATGAATTGCTTAGTCTCACAGTTTGCATTGAACACAACATAGGCCATAGCCACGCAACTCGTTTATTGTCTGCTGCTAACCCTTGGATACCCGATTTAATTCTGGCCTTTGGATCCGTCCACATGATGAATCATCAGATTGCAGTAGACAGTGAAAGTGTTCTTCCCTCCTGGCTTTCTGTTCTAGCCAGAATAGAACTCTTTGAACTACAAGGAAATGGTTCTGATGATGAGCAAACCGAAACAGTTACTAAAGAAACAGACTTCCTTGCGTTCAAGAAATTAATGGGTACGATGGTCAAGATGTTAAGAGCCAACCATGGTGTACTGGATGGGTTTGTAACAACCGTTTTGAACATTTTGTTAATTCAGTTACAAAGTAGAGACTTCAATGTGGTGTTAGGATTGCTGCATTTCATGTGTGTAAAGTTGATCAAAGATGATGATCTGAAGCGGAATGAACTTAAAAATATGTCGGCATCCCTCCAGCAGATAAACCATCAAATAGAGTTGGAAAGTGAAAATTCAAGTAACAGTGAGGATGAGTTGCAGGTGTTGCAGAGTGCAAAGACATTCATTGAATCGGTTTTGAACTGTTCATCTGATTCTCCAAGGAAACAATGAAACAATTGTATTTACTTGAATGTAACAATTGTATAATGTTTCTACTCTCTCTACACAAAGCATAGCATTAGGTGCTCTAGATTCTTGTCAACACTACCTTAGTATACTTTGCCGCTTGAATCGCTTAATTAAAAATGTGGCACAACTCTTTGGTTGGAAATGATTGAAAACCACAGTAAATGACACTTTTATTTTCATTTCTAGACATGTCTCACCAGTCACCACTCCCACTTCAAAAATAAATATTAAGTACAAGTATTTTATGCTTAATCAACAACTTTTACTATTTCAGTTGTATTTTAAAAAATCTAACCTATTTAGCTATTTCAAGTGTTACTAATATATACTCATGACAAAGACATTAACATTATCAAGTAAGAAGTCGTTTTCCAAGTCAATCAAACAAAGCTATTACAAGGAATCACCCTACAACTATAGTAGAGAGTGAAGTGGGATGTTGCTATCCTTCCAAAATATGGATACATAGTTAAAAATTTCTGGGTAGAAATGTACTTTCTTAACTTCTAAACGCAGCTTCACAAAAACTAGAGATGCAGATCCATCTCGCATGGAACTTGCTCATACTGGAATCTTCTTCAGGTACACAGCAACTGGCATGCTCAAGAAACCAAAGAATACGCTAAGAAACCACTGGCAGAAGCTAAGAGGAGTTGTGTTGGCAAACGTGCCCAGGTATTCGATGATTATAATCTGGAAGATGACAGTGACACTGATGACTGTCACAAACACATAGTTGTTTAGTATGCCTTCAAGCACGTCTGTTTTCTCCATCTCCCGAGAATTCACCTCATTGAACAGCTGCAAATATAGAGTAACAAACATTATAAGGTGTATGTTTAGATCAGTAGAGAGCTCTGTTCTAAAAATTGTTCTAGGCGTCCGACTAGTCCCCGCCTAGGCGCTAGGTGGTGGCTGGGCGCCCCGATTTTGGTCTAGGCGTTCCGACTAATTCGTTTGCCGTCTAGTCGGCCACCTATGACGCCTAGTTGCCCGCCTAGAGCGCCTAATAGGCCGCCTAGATCGTCTAAATTTGCCGGACATTACTTTACTTTTTAATCTTAATTTTCTAAGCGATATACGCACTTTAACTTTAGCCATGGATATAAAGAAATGAAGTTGTAAAATAAGATAAAACTATATATGTTTTTTTATGTACCTATATTTTAATATTATTTATATTTATAACATAATGAAGTTAAGTGATTAGTTATCATATACTCCTTCCGTCCCAATATAAAAGGCACATTTGCGTTTGGGGAGTTTTTAAGGGTGAACACTGTTTGAACACTGTTTGACACTGTTTAGACACTGTTTGACACTGTTTGGACACTGTTTGGCACTGTTTTGCACTGTTTTGTTTGCCAAAAAGGGAAATGTGCCTTTTATATTGGGACGGACCGAAAAGGAAAGTGTGCCTTTTATATTGGGACGGAGGGAGTACTACTTATGATTAAATGTGATAATTATATCATTCATGTTTGTTAATGCATATGTATATATGTATTTTATACACATGAAAATACAATATTACTTATCATATTTATGCAAAAAATATAGATAAAAATGTAATTTATGTGTCTCCGACTAGTCCCCGACTAGGCGCCCGCCTAGCCGCCTAGGCGCAGGGCTGGCACCCGACTAGCGCCTAGCGCCTAGCGCCTTTTAGAACATTGGTAGAGGGGATCGAAAGGGAAAGCATTGTTTGGTTGGTGGGAAGGTTCCGAACAGTTAGCTCACTTTTGTTTCGGAGGTTTTTTTGTACAACCCTAGTGTAATGATTATAATCTACAAGGAAAAAAGTGCAAAAGCTTAAGAAAGGCACCTGACAGAAGACGAATGAGTTGAAAATAAGTGTGTTGAGGGTCAAATCCTCATTTGGGCCACCAAGACGGAATATGAATTTTCCACAAGCCTGAAGAAACCAGATAACTATGAACTGGTATAAAGATTGACCCAAGATATTCCTCCACATTACGTTTGTGATAAAACTTCCTGTCCTTCCAACTGGAGCCCTCTTCATTAGCTCATCTGTAGGGGGTTCAGTTGCCAAGGCAAGTGCTCCCAATGTGTCCATTATCATATTCACCCACAAGAGTTGAACAGCGGTTAATGGGGCACTACCTGCAAGACAATTGATACAAATTATTTCAGGTGGCCCAAAAATTTAAATGGCAACTAAGGGCCTATTTGGTAAGGGACCAAGGGTTATTTGGTTGAATCTGTTGAAGCGCGGTTGGTAACACCATTCCAGCCAGATAAGTAAGTCAAAAGTTACTATCTCTACTTGTCCTGTTGATAGCAGATAATCCAAATAAAAAAAGATGCCAAAGCATATGCTCGTTACCCGTTAAACAAGCCGAAGAGAAGTTGACAATTAAAGCAACAACATTAACAGTCAACTGAAACTGAACGAATTTCTGAATGTTTATGTAAACTGAGCGTCCCCATTTAGCTACTGTCACGATAGTTGAGAAATTGTCATCTAGAATGATTACATCAGCACTCTCTTTGGCCACCTGGGATCAGAAGTAAGGATCAGTGTTTCAAAACCTAGCAAAAGGTGAGCCTGATTTTATATGTTTGTCCATATTTTTATAATCTCCTAATATTTTATATACTAAGAGATTCACAAAGTTCTAGTTTTTTTCACCTCAGTCCCAGCAATGCCCATTGCAAGCCCAATATCAGCCTCATGAAGTGCAGGAGCATCATTAGTTCCATCACCAGTTACTGCCACAACTTCTTGAAATGTTGTTCTCAATTGCTTTACCAATGTGTGCTTGTCTAGTGGTGAGGATCTAGCCATCACCTTCATAACAGAAAACAAAAAGAAAAAGTTTTAGGTTCAATTTGTTTCCAGGGAAACATTTTTGAGGGCCTACTGTGATTCTTTGAACTTCTGTGAAGAGTGACTTCCCGCTTTCGAAATGAGGCGTCATTTTCTTGAAAAAGATATCAAGTTTCGTTTTTAACATAGGAATAATATTATACAAAAAAAACATTTTTCTATCACAATTTTTTTACAAAGAAAGCATTTTTTCTCTCCACTGGAATGGAGCTATAAATTTGTTTCTAGAATATTTTTGATTTGAACAAAATATTTTACTTTGTAAATAGATAAATACAGAGTATGCAATAATTAAATAAAGAACCTGGATTTTAGGAATGATTTTGTGCATCTCCTCGAGACTCATCTCCCTAAATACAGGACCTTCAATGGCAATACCATCATCAGTTAAAATCCCACATTCCCTGGCTATAGCTTTTGCAGTGTTGATGTTATCTCCAGTGACCATCCTAACAGTGACACCAGCGGAATGACAGAGGGCAACAGATTCCCTAACTCCCGGCCGAACCGGATCCTTTATTCCCACTATCCCCACACAAGTATAGCCCGAGACCGGAATATCATCATTAGGTGAGAACCCACTTTCCAAATCGAGATACGCAAGGCATAACGTTCTAAGTGCTTCATTGGCAAACTCATTGATAGTGGCATTCATGTGATTACATAACTCCTCATCCAGTGGCACAACCACACCATCAGAATTAATAACTTTGTCACAGGCAGCCAATATTATCTCTGAAGCACCTTTAGTATGAGCACGTAAACGTCCTTCAGGAAGTTCTAATACTACACTCATTCTTTTTTTGGTGGAGTTAAAAGGTTCGACTTTTACTAGTTTGCAAGCCTTTCTTTCAGCTTGGAAATCCCCACCAAGATCCAAACCAAACTTAAGTATTGCTGTCTCGGTTGGTGTTCCCAACATTTCACGTTTCCCAGTTTTTGAAGCCACCACTTCACCTCCCGTGTTGTTGAATATGGACTGGAGAAGCGCTTGGAGGACATTATATGGAAGTTGGGTTCGGATATCATTTGCGTCACTCGAAGTGTTTAAATCTTTGACTTTCATACATATGCAAGTCTTGACAACAGTCATTCGATTCGTGGTTAGGGTCCCAGTTTTGTCACTGCAGATCGTTGTGGCGGACCCCATTGTCTCACACGCGGCCAGGTTT